ACTTTATTTCCTTGATTCATGCTGTGTTTTGGCATTTCCGAATAAATTAATTGATCTTTTCAAGTTATTAAAGTGAACAAATTGGATTTTTCAAATATCAGATTGTGAATTAATTAGAATGGAATATTTTAATCCTAAATTTTACGAGACAATATTGAGAATATTCATTCAAACTCAAGTTTCTATTAATAATTTTGAAACATTTTATTGTTACAAATTTTGTTGACAAATATTTTAAACAGTTTAGTTTGGGTCCCGAAAATCGTATGAAAATTTTGACAAAAATTAAAAACTGCAAAATAGGCTTTATCACCAATTTTCTCAATAACTGTTTATTGTAGGACAATGATCTTTTTTTATGTGACAGAAAATTAAATTTTCTTTCCAGTAGTACCAAACATAAGAGGTTATTACTAATAAGTCCGGAGTTATAGGTAATAGACCGCTCTGGATGTCAAAAATCGACCAAAATTTAATCAAAATTGAAAAATATTTTCAACTTTAAAATTAATCCATATAACGTTTTTTACATTTCTAGAGGTCTTAAAGACTCAAAAAAGTGGGTCAGGTTTAAAAAATTACGAATTTTTTGAATTTTTGAAGGTGAGCTGTAGTAAAATCGTAAAAATAGTGTTCACAAATTTTTACTCTTCTTTATTTTGTAAATTGCAGCAAAACTGTACCTCAATGATATAAGATTTTGACTGAAACTTATGTAAAATGTTCCGAGGAATCGATTGGTGTCAAGAAAACTGCAAAATTCGTAATAGTTTTGAAGTTATAGTCGAATTCATATTTTTGAAACTTTTAACTTTATCAGAAATTTTCTCCATAACTATTTATCGTAGAACACTGATCTTTTTTGTATATGATAGAAAATTAAATTTTCTTTTCAACGGTACCAAACATAAGAGGTTATCACCAATAAGTCCGGAGTTATTAACAATAGACTGCTTTGGGTGCCAAAAATCGACCAGAATTTTGTCAAAAATTGAAAAATGAAAAACTTCAAAATTGATCGAAAAACACTTCTAGTGGTCCAAAAGTACGTAAAACGTTTGTAGAAAGAAACGCAAAAAATAAATGTGTTTGGATGATTATATTGAATTAAAGCAGAGAGACTACTCGGGGACATGGTGGCGCAGCGACATAAGATCGCTTTTTTGCACTTCTAATGGTCTTAAAAGTGAACAAATTGGATTTTTCAAACATCAGTTTGTGGATTAATTAGTCAGACCGGAATATGTTAGTAGTTTGTTGTCCTAAATTCGCAATCGATCGTCTCAATTCCACTAAATCACCATCCAAGGCAAAAAACCATCGCACTTTCACTCCTCGTGGGTGTGTTCCACTACATTATCTCTTTAAACCCGTCATTGTCTATGTTATGTCCAAGTTAACAACTCGGCGTTCCCGCCTCAACAAATCCATCATTTGGTAAAAAATAGTGCAAACACTGTTTTCACACCCAATCCCAATTATAAATTTCCATGGGGGTGGTGTTGTAGCATCGCGACTTGACAAAAACCACGCATTGTTTCTCATAATTCTCTTAACAATAGACTTGACAATAATAAGAACTAGGCGTGGGCGTGAAAGTCGGAAAAATAACAACAAGAGAAAAATTCCAAAGCCGTGCCTCTCCACCAGTGTTGCCAGCTCAAAACAATTAAATTCACCAGATTTGCACCTATTTTCATCAGATAAATCTCGCAAATCTGCTCAAAAACGTGCTTAAACAGTCGAAAAATGTAAAAATAGGTAACGCTTTATTTAGTCTAACTCTATATTTTTTTGGCTAGTTTATAATCAAATTTTGCGAAATACCCGGTGACAAAAAATCTATTGGCAACACTGAATTAGTGGTAATTCTTCGAAATTTTTTATATCAGAGTGTTACAGGTGACGGCTAAATCAGCAGTCGCCCGTCGCAAAGGAATGACAATTGCCTATAAAAGTTTGACGTTTGAATTTGAAAGTCAAGGTTGCCAAATTATATTTTAAATTTGACACCAAATCATTTACAGTCACCCGATATCTACGTTTTTACTTGAAAAACATCCTAAAACACTTGATAAAGGCAAAAATAATGACTTGATTTGATGTTTTTTGGTTTGTTTTAACAAAATCTTGCAATTAACAACATTATCGACCATATTTTCCATTTTTCGTCCTATTTTTTTGACAAAATTTCACTCAAAAAGAGCTAAATTGAATGAAATAATAAATTTAGCTTTATTTTTGTTGAGTTTAAACATGTTTTGACAATATCCTGCAAAATAAATGAGTCTCTGGTTCAAAAACGAACTAAATCGAGCGAAACAAGCTAAAATAATGTCCATAACGGTCTAATTTGGTACTTTTTCAGACAATTTTGGAAAAATTTGTTGTTAAAATTTGTTTTTATCTTAAAAACGCTCTTAACCACTCGAAAAAGCAAAAATAATTCTATTTTTAATCTGATTTGATAAAATTTCCACTGAAAAATGTGCTAAAACACTCGAAAAAGGCAAAAATTATTTGATTTTTTTTATTTAATGCGGTAATTTTTTGGTTTGTTTTAGAAAAATCTTACAAAAAACGTAAAATTTTAGTTAAAAAAAGTAGTTTTCGATCAAATTTTCCGATTTTTCTGCAGATTTTTGATTATTTTTTACTGAAAAACTATTAAATTAAGTGAAACAAAGAAAATATCATGAATTTTGATTTGTTTTTCTGATTTTTAGGCGTGTTTTGACAAGTTCTTGAAAAATCTTGCAATTAACACCATTTTCGACCATATTTTGTATTTTTCGTCTTATTTTTTTTTTGACAAAATTTTACTCAAAAAGAGCTAAATCGAATGAAACAAACGAAATAACATCAATTTAGATTTATTTTTGTTGTGTTTAAGCATTTTTTGACAAGATCCTGCAAAATAAATGAGTCTCTGGTTCAAAAACGAACTAAATCCAGCGAAACAAGCTAAAAGAATGTCCATAAAGATCTAATTTGGTAATTTTTCAATTTTAGATAAATTATTTGTTAAAATTTGTTTTTATATTAAAAACGCTTTTAGTCACTCGAAAAAGACAAAAATAATACTATTTTTAACCTAATTTGAAAAAAAATTCAGCTGAAAAATGTGCTAAAACACTCGAAAAAAAAACAAAAATTATTTGATGTGGTAATTTTTCGGTTTATTTTAGAAAAATCTTACAAAAAACGTAAGATTTTAGTTGGAAAACGCGTATACAACTTAAAAAAAGTAGTTTTCGATCAAATTTTCAGGTTTTTCTGCTTGTTTTTGAATACTTTTTACTAAAAAACTAGTTAAATTAAGTGAAACAAAGAAAATACCATGAATTTTGATTTATTTTTTTGATTTTTAGGCGTGTTTTCACAAGTTCTTGCAAAATAAATTGTTAGTTTTAGAGCCAATTATAGAAAAATTGTTTTTATTTCATTTTTAGTAAATTTTCTGTTTGTTCTTAAAGAATTTTTGCGAAATAATTGCCTTACTAGCCGAAAAACGTGTTGAAACGCTCAAGAAAGAGAAAAATAATATAATTTTGGAATTAATTTGGTAATTTTTTGACTTGTTTTAGTATAATATTGCAAAAAATGAAGCTTTAATATAAAAACATGCTTGAGAAAGTTATAAATAACACAATTTTTCACCAATTTTTATTATTTTTTTGATTAATTTTTGCTCAAAAATCAGTTACATCGAGTGAAACAGATAAACTATCATCAATTTAGATTCGTTTTTGTGACTTTTAGGCGCGTTTTGACAAGATTTTCCAAGTCTTTGGTTCAAAAACGAACTAAATCGAGCGAAACAAGCTAAAATAATATCACTTTTATCAATATTTTTAGAACAATAAAAAAATGTTTTCGTTTCGTTTCAAAAACGTACAAAAAGCAAAAATAACACAAAACGAGCTAAATCGAATGAAACAAACGAAATAACATCAATTGAGATTTATTTTTGTTGTGTTTAAGCATGTTTTGACAATATCCTGTAAAATAAATGAGTCTCTGGTTCAAAAAAAGAACTAAATCGAGCGAGACACACTAAAATGATATGAATTTCAATCTGATTTGGTAATTTTTCAGTCAGTTATGGCAAAAATTGGCAAAAAATAAGTTCACGTTATTTTCTATAACTTCAGTACTGTTAATCGACGAAAAATTCACAAAATTTGAAAATGAATGTTTTTTTTGTTTGTTTTCAAAAAAAGTGTCTTTTTCTCTAAATAGGTCAAAAATTTGTTACTTTTTTCAATGAAAAACGCTCAAAAATTTAATATTATAAAATATTTTTTTTAAACTTTGGATGAAGTTTTTTTGAATAATATCAATTTCAATCTAATTTGGTAATTTTTCAGTTTTAGCAAATATTTGAATGTATTTTAAAAACGTGCTGAAACACTCTAAAAATGCAAAAATAACACTAGTTTTGGCCTAATTTGATAAAATTTCGGTTTTTTATTAACGAAATTTTGCAAAATAGTTCTGTTTCCGGCTAAAAATATACTAAAACACAATGTACTTTTTGACCCATTTTAGCGATTTTTTTACCTTGTAGAGTGAAATATCATTTATAAAAACAAAACTATCTCGATTTTTCAACTTGTTTTTGAAAAAATTTAGCATTTGAGTTTCTGCATGTCTAAAAAACGTGCAAAATTCTCAAAAATGCTGGAATTTCATTCACGTTTTTACTAAATCACCAAACTTAGCAACACTGATTCAAAGTCTAGCTCAATGTTTCATTACATTTTCCCAAAAAACGCAACTAATCAACGTTGTAGCATAGAAAGTTTGTCCCACTTGCCAAACAATAGACCATCTCTCGCAACCTCCAATGTTTAGAAACTGGGAAGTAGGTTTCACAGTTATGTCGTTTGAATATTGATCAAGAAGTATGCCGCCAATAAATGTACCATCACGCACCTGTCGTGCTCCAACTAGACCAAGAGGTCACCCTCTTATCACTGTTATCATTATATTTCCAGACGCCCTTGGTGCAGAGACAACACAGCGTGCCAGGGCCGGATCCCCGGGACGATTGCCGTCTTTCGACCAACAACAACGTGGGGGGCTGCACGCCGCCGGCCTCTCCTCAGCAGGCGACGCAATCCAGGAGGCTGCTGCAGGAGACGCTCGCGCGCCCGCCCCCCTATCCCATGATCGCCGTCCCCGAGAAGGGCTACTGGGTGGATGGGACCGACCATGAAGTCGCCTTCGACCACAGAGGGGGGCCCATCCTCCCACATCAGACGTGGAGGGCCAAAATCGAAACCGACGACACCGGAAAGTGCTACAGGAGGTTCTATGTTGGAAGGGTAAGTGAATGAAAGTGTGGCACTGAGTGTTTATATATGGAAAGTGTAACGGCGCCTTCGGGGAACGAATTTATTTATTAAGTTTGCTTAGGACCGTTTTTGTGAAATAAAATATATAGTGAGAGGGCGAGGCTTATAAGGATATGCTATCTCGAGAGAAACGGATGTCAGGGATCAAAAAAGAAAGGGAGGTAGTTTATAATTAGTGGGATTGGTTACGGATGTCTGGAAAGACGCTGAATGAGTTTGGCGCAGTGGCGGGGCTATTATTTTTTTTACTTTGTTGATTATTTCTCGCAATTTTTGAAAAGTTTTTAGTTTCTCCAACATTTTGATAAATCGGTGTTTTGATTTTTTAATTGCCGCAGAAATATTTTACATTTTGCACTTTTGTTGCAAAATTCATTGCACTTCTCTTTTTTATATTTAATTTCTCTTCTTCTCCATTTTCTTTTTTATAATTTAGTGAAAGTTATTGTTGAAATTTGTTGTAAAGGCATCAGAGGTCGGATTCCTCTCAACATACTTAATTTTTCTTAAAAAAAAAACGTCACACTCCTAATTTTTTTTTGCTTTTTACTAGTCTCTTACTATAGTCTTACAAGACAATAAAAAGAATAAAGTTGATTTGTAGGTACTTTTTTGTTGCAACAGCAAAATTAAACCGGGAATAATGAGAAATTTTATCCGCCGTTTTTGGTTAATAAAATAATTGAGCAAATAACAAAATGTTTTTAAATATTGAAAAATGTCAGTCTATTGTTTTCAGCAGGAAAATCTCTCCAACCCTACCGAATTATTTTATTAATAGTACAAAAATTACAGTAAAACAGTCTGTGAGAGATTTAGGTATATTACTTGATAGTAAATTAACTTTTATTCAACACCTTGAATTTATCATTTATAGAGCTAATAAGGCACTTGGCTGCATAAAACGTTATTGTCGTGATTTTAGAAATTTTAATTCCATCAAAATGCTATTTGTTCAATCCTCGAATATGGTTCGACAATCTGGAATCCGCATTACAAAATTCATGTTGGTAGGCTTGAAACAATACAGTTTAAGTTTTTTAAATATATAAAATGGTTGCTGCCTTATTTTGTGCAAGATAATTACAATATTTCCTTAAATTATATGTCTCTTTCTACACTTGAAATTAGAAGAAGATATCAGGCTTTATGTTTTGTTTATAAACTTTTAAATAATTTGATTAATGATACTTCAATACTAAATTTAATTAATTTTCACGTTCCACAGTATAATAGCAGATCAGACCAATTATTCTAAATTAATTCTCCTCTAAATGATCTTTTAAGAATTTGTAACATGTACAGTGTCAAATTGGACTTTTTTAATTTTAAATCCTTTAATAGTTNTTTATTTCATTTTTAGTAAATTTTCTGTTTGTTCTTAAAGAATTTTTACGAAATAATTGCGTTTCTGGCCAAAAAACGTGTTGAAACGCTCAAGAAAGAAAAAAATAATATAATCTTGGAATTAATTTGGTAATTTTTTTATTTGTTTTAGTACAATTTTGCAAAAAAATGAGGCTTTAGTACAAAAACATGCTTAAGATAACGCTATTTTTGACCAATTTTTAGTTTTTTTTTTTGATTAGTTTTTGCTCAAAAATCAGTTACATCGAGTGAAACAGACAAACTATAATCAATTTAGATTCGTTTTTGTGATTTTTAGGCGCGTTTTGACAAGATTTTCCAAGTCTTTGGTTCAAAAACGAAATAAATTGAGCGAGACACACTAATGATATCAATTTCAATCTAATTTGATAATTTTTTAGTCAGTTTTATGTATCTTGAAAACGTGCTGAAACACTCAAAAAATGCAAAAATAACACTAGTTTTGGCCTAATTTGATAAATTTTCAGTTTGTTTTTAACGAAATTTTGCAAAATAATTCTGCTTCTGGCTAAAAAACATACTAAAACGCTCTGAAATAGACAAATCAATGTACTTTTTGACGGAATTTGGCAATTTTTTTATCTTGTTGAGTGAAATATTTAGAAAAACAAAATTTCTCTATTTTTCAACTTATTTTTAAGAAAATCTAGCATTTTTGCATGTTTAAAAAACGTGCCAAAAAATAGTGTCATCATTTTTGACAAAATTTACTATATCAATAAACAAAAAATCAAATGAATGTGGTCAAATCTTGTCAAATTTGTTTAGAGTTTCATTTTTATTTAGTAAAGTGTCTTTTAGATTGTAAAAAATAATGTTTAGGTCATTTCGAGTAGTTTCAGGTCGGTTCAAGTCACTTTAGGCCACTTCGGATTACTTTGGCTTGGAGTAAAAAGAAAGTGTTAAATGTACTGACTTTGATTTTTAAAAGAAGAAAAATTCTTAGGGAAATGTTTAAATTTAGTAGTAAAAAATTTAAAATGCCAATTGAGACGTTTCAAAACATCGTGCTACAAAAGACAGTTGGGGAGACTAAAAAAGTATCAGATGTACTGGATTAAAAATTTTCCAGATTTGCAAAAAAACGTTTCAAAATCCCTTAAAGAAATTAAAAAAGTTAATTTTTCTAACATTTAGTCGAATACTCGATTAAAAAAAAATATTTCAAAATTCATAAATTTTCTCCTGCAACTAGTCAGGAATTTTTTCAAAAATTTTCACCAAATCATTAAACTAGTATAAATGGTGAAATTTCCACTCTAAGCCCCCATACTCGTTGCAGGAGCACACCTCCCTCATCGGCACCGACGACCACCTCGGCCCCGTCCTCCTCTCGATCAAAACGGAGAACGTGGCCAACCAGGAGCACACCCGCATCCTCCTCCGGATGCGCACCGGGACCATGCACGAAATCGTCCCATCGTCCTGTCTCGGCGACAGCCCCACTCCCGCCCGCATGGCCAAACTCCTCAACGAGCAACTCAACATCGACAACTTCGTCCCAGTTTTGCACCCCAAAGCCTCCCAACTCATCGCCAACTACGACGAGCATGTCCTCGTCACCAACTTCAAGTTCGGGGTGATGTACCAGAAGTTCGGCCAAACGACCGAAGAGGAGTTGTTTTGCAACAGTGTCACCACGCCGGCCTTTGACGATTTCCTCGGACTGTTGGGTCAGAGGATACAGCTGAAGGACCATAAGGGGTACAGAGGGGGGCTGGACATCCAGAACGGGCATACGGGGGACCAAGCGGTCTATGAAGTCTTCAAAGACCGAGAAATTATGTTTCATGTCTCCACGTTGTTGCCCTACACGGAGAGTGACCCCCAGCAGTTGCAGAGGAAGAGGCATATTGGGAACGATATTGTCGCTATTGTTTTCCAGGAGGAAAACACACCGTTTTCGCCGGATATGATAGCCTCGCATTTTCTACACGCGTTTATTGTGGTTCAAGTGGTCGATCCCAACACCCCCAACACAAGGTAAGGGGTGACTCACCGTTTTAGTCATCATTTCGTCAAGAATTTGTTATTTCTTTTTTTTAACATCTGTTTTTCTGTTGCAATGTTTTTTTTTGGCTTCTTTTTCTTTTTCAATTTCTTAGTCAATCTCCTCTCTCTCTATTTCTTTCTCATTATGACTTTTACTTTTTTTACTTTAGTACATAAAAAATTCTGTCTTTTATATTCACATCAAACTTAATTCATAATTAGTTTTTCTTTTTTTTTGAATAGGTATTTTTTCTTCTTCCACATTTCTTTGCTACTTTTCTTTTTTTAAATATGTATTGACGCTTTTAGAATTTTTTGTCGTATATTTGGGTTTTCAATCTTGCTTCTTTCTTAGTCGATTTTTTTTTCTACTTTAAGTTTCTTACATTTTCAAACTTTTATTTTTGCAAAGCAATATTTCTCTTGTGTATTTTTTCCATCATTATTGTTTGTGAGTACAGACTTTTTTATTTTTTTTTGTCTGTTTGAGTAAAACATATTTTTGTAACAAAATATTATATATTTTTTACAATACGTTTTTTTTTATACATCTGTTTTTATTTATTTTTTTCTTAGTCATGTACGGATTTTTTTACCCTCCAGAAACTTAAGAAAATCAACTTCTCTTATATTCGTCCCGATAACGTTTTCTTTTGCTTTTTTTAACAGAAATTGTGCCGAAACATCAATGAACGTGTAATAAAAGTAAAATTGTATTAAGTCAATCCTCTTTGGTTTCAAGAATTTGAAAAATCTGACATTTGGAACCAACATCAATGACTTGAAAAATTAAAAATCATATTTTTTTTTAATTTTTTGGCGTTTTTGGATTTATTATTAACAGCTATTCTTTTCTTCCTCTTTGTTTTTTTTTATTTTTTACTAATAGCTAATGGTAAATGTTTATTACTACTTATAACAAAAATTATAGTGTTTTTTTATTTTCAACAGGCTTAAAGGTTAAACTGGACCGAACTTAGAAACAACTTTTTTTGCAATTCACTGTTAGTTTTTTTTTTTTTTTTGAATCGGTAATTTTTCTTCCTCAACATTTCTTTGTTTTTTTAATTCTTTTTTTTTGAAACATATATTGACGTTTTAGAATTATTATTATTACGTTATTTACGATTTTTTTTCTTCATTAATTGGAATCGTAAATCGCAAGACGATGTGGGAAACGTAATAATTATCATTTAAACAAAGAAAGATCATTGTTAGCGCTTCTAACGGGAAATTTGACTAGAGAAGACTTCCGTCTCGGTTTGTATACCGGATGATAACGAAATTTGACGTTTTTCGCAAATAGGAAAACCTTTAAAAGTTGAAATTATGTTGGCAACATTCATGTCTGTGGTTTTATCAAGTTGACCACGAATCCCTGGCAACACTAATTGTCAAAATTAAACGTCAAAATTTAACATTCAATTGTCATTCATAATTCGTTTAAATTAATTTAAAAAAAAGTACAAAATAAAAAGTGTATAAAAGACTCTTAATATACCGAGTGACTGCAAATGATTGTGCAAATATTTATTGGCAACACTGTGATTTCAGATTGTTTCAAGTGAGTGACAGTTACAAATTGAGATTTCAAATGAAAAAATCTTAAGAATTCATTTCAAGTTGAGTTTTTAAACGCCATCATAATGAATAAGTCTTGTTTTTTGTTTCTTTAAGAACAACAAAATAAAAAAAAATAGTTTAAAAGACTTGTTACAGAATGATTCAAGCAATTTTTTTTATAAACCGAGTGACTGCAAATGATTGTACCAAAAAATCTATTGGCAACACTGGTCTGTGATATCAGATTGTTGTTTGCCATCAAAATTGAGTGACAGTTGCCTGTAAAACTGTGACGTTTATATTTGACAATCACGGTTGCCAAATTAAAATTTCAAATGAATAAATGTTGAGAATTCATTTCCAAATTACAAGCAATGACAAATGTCAGTTGAATTTTACAACGCCAACATGAATTTTAACAAATAAACTATTTGCTCCTATTTTAGCCTTTGATCCGTGACTGTGATTTTTATCAAGTAGGCCACAAATCTTAAATTTTAATTTGGCTACACTGATTATCAAAATCAAACATCACAATCATACACTCAATTGTCATTCATCGTCGTCATTTGAAACTATAGTTCGTTTTTTTTATAAACGATTTTTAAAATATTGTTAAATTGGTAAAAGCGTCACATATGTCGTATATCATACATTTTTGACAATACCTCCGTCGTTAAGACATATAACATAACCTCTATAGTTATCTAGAGTGACACTGACAATTATTTATAAAAAGTGCACTATATTAATATTTGTGCCAAAAAATCTATTGACAATACTGAATTCCATAAATTCAAGATTGCCAATCTAAGATATCAAATGTGACGCCAATTTGAGGATAGTGGATAAAGGAACGTCACTTAGTATCTAATATTTTTTTTTCATTTAGCGTCAGTGGTAGAAGAATTGACAAATGCCAACTACTGCCAACTACATTTTAAAGTTATAGCCACTTTGCTTTAATTTAGGGCGTGAAAATCCCACGTGGGACACCCTGTATTGCAATTGCTGCAGCATGCACTCGCATGAATAATGCACAACAAGTTAATGCAAGAAGATGAAGTTTACGTTTAATTTTAATTAAACTAGTGTTCGAGCAGCATCAACATTTAATTACTGAAATTTTCTGCAATTGTTGACTTTGAGGAACAAATTGAAAATGAAAGAAGTTTTACTCAGTTTATTTAATTGGACAAGTTTTAAAAGAGTATTAAATCAAGTACAGAGATCATTAGAGAGCATTTGTTGACTTTTTCCGTTATTTGAGTCCTTAGTTTACACGTTTGAACATATTTTTTGTCCAGTTTAATTGATTTAGTTGCGCTTAATTAGTTGTTTTCCGCTATTTTTTTTAATTGGGTGTAATGTTGCTGTGATTGATGAATGCGAATCGTGTTCAAAATCTAACATAAGATGATCATTTATTCTGAACCTTACACAAGATTAATACCATAATCGGTCGAAAGTACAAAAATTAAACGCAACCGGTGGTTTTGCAACCTCATACTCGTTAATTTACAGAATAAAATCCGGTCTAATCAACTGTTTTCCGTTATTATTAACAGACTGGTCGAAAATTAGGTCGACGACACTGTCACTCACACGTTTTTACACATACAATGTGAAACGTAATTAGTTTTGTTGTCACAAGACAAAAAATTGAATAGCTTTCATGTTTCACCAACCAAATTTTTTGACAACTCCTAACGTGAAATAATTAAAAGTGAAGAAACTTCCAATATCGTCACAATAGTGTCATATTGTCGTATCAACAAGAAATTACACCCTAGAATTTAGGGATATTCGTGAATAGGTTAGGTTGGTTTTTGGTGACAAACAAAAGAAATCGTAATCAGTGTCAAAATTTAGGTTAAGTCACCTTGTAGCTTGTAGGGATAAACAACATGAAAAACGTAATTTTCCTAAAAGTTCCAATCCTAGCTGGTCCTGTTGACAAATCTGTAAATTTCGGAATAAAAGTCGTCCAGTGTTAAATATTTATGTTGGCAGTGCTGTTCGTAGTTGGTTTCAATTATTGAAACGTTTTGACAGAGAAAGTTTAATTTCTCGAATAGATAAATCTTCACTCTCACAAATGCCAATTGATTGAATGCGAATTGAATTTCTTGTAATTTCTTCCATAAAAAAACTCGACATTTTTTACTTGTCGTAGCAGGTGGAAGTGCTAATGGATTTTTTCAACTTTTACATTTGTTAATTGTGCTGAACTTAGCGTTGCATAATCATAAAAAAGGCAACAGTTATGCAAATTTTGTTGAATAAAACTAAAGTGTCTCAAAACGGTCATTTTTCAGACACTCGCATTGATTTTCACAAGAAAGCTGCTCACGTGACTCGATGTAGGTTTATTACCCGCAATTGCATCCACTTGTTTTGAGTCAAAAGAGATTTTTTCGAGTGCCACTTTTATAAAAATACAATATTTGACTAACCTGGTTTCAAATTCAAACAAGGATGATAAATTAGGTGAAACTAAATTACAAATTGTATTAGCACCTGTTATGTGCATTACGAATGTGGAATAAATAATGTGTGTCACGTCATCCTTGTGTTGTCAGAATTTTTTTTCTATTTTGTAAATTCGTTTGGGTGCGTTAACACCCTAGTGTATTTTAGATTTTTAATGTTGGTTACGAATTTTCCGTGGCGCAGTTATATGAAAAAATCTCGAGAATTCAGTGTTAGTACGAGTGAACAAAAAATTACTACCTTAAACTTTTAGGAAAATTTCGTTTTTCATGTTGTTTGTGACCAGAATTTTCAGAAGTAATTTTGAATGCCTTTTGTTGTTGACGATTGACGTTTTCTGCCAACCTGCTGTCAACTATCAGTTGAATTATCTATACAAGCTGATTTAACCTAAATTTTGAGACTGGTTACGATATCTTTTTTCAAAATTTAGGGCAACGTATTCACGAATATCCCTAAATCCTAGGCAGTAATTTCTTATTGATACAATATGTCAACACATGTGTCACCAACTGACGCAAAATTCCCTGAAGTAAACATTCTTTTTTTCTTTAAAAACAACATAAGAAACGCTAAATAAAAAATAGCATAATAAATATTACGCTTCTTGGAAATGAATGACAATTGGATTCGACGGTCAGTGTTGCCAAAATTAAGACTTCAGATTTGTGACCAACTTGACGAAAGTCACAAGTTTTAACAAATAATCAGTTTCTGATTATTTGTTCCTAAAAAATAGCTTTTGATTTTGAAATTAACTTGACAACATTGGATAATTAAGACAGAAATGATCCGTAACAGTGATTTTTATCAAGTAGGCCACAAATTTGAAATCTTAATTTGGCGACACTGACTATCAAA